AGAGCAAAAGGAGAGCAGGCGGAGCAGGTGGCCGGCCACCATAAAAGCCGAGAGAGACAGCGAGAGAAGTGGGGGTGAGTTTTGGAGGGGGGTCGATTTTTGGTGTGAAACCGAGAGAGAGAGGAGACAGAGAGTCAGGAGAGAGAGCTCGAGCGCAAGACTGAGATCTAGACTGAGTGAGTGGCCACACCTGAGTCCCGGCCGAAGGCCCGAGGTGTCACACCCCAAAAACAACTAGAAAAGGGGGATGACATGGCCGTTCTTCCACACGAAGGATGCAGCCTCAACAATAACCAACTACCTGTTATCAACTTATATTTATCTCAAACCACATATATATCAGATAAACCAACAGGTTGGTTACAACATCAGAGTTTTTATAATCCACCAAAAGAACATGTGCATCAAGAACTTAGTCAACCCGACGAACTATCAACAACCTTACAAACAACTCCAAAAATCATACCCAAAAATCAAATACCTAAACGTCCCCGCGATAGAGCTCTCGTACTAACGGCCGCTAGCCGAGGAACCTGAAAAGATTGGGAAAGAGAGAAATGAGCAACCACAGCTCAGTGAATAGTACATCTCTTCTAAGTAGATCGAGCAATCACTATGCATGTGTACAAAGCAATACCAAACTTCAGAAGCCAAACCCAAGGTTTAAAATACATATAGAATCACATAAGAGTTATTTCATTTTATCAAAACTTTGTACAATTCACAAATACACATTTAAATCCACCATCACAATTCAAACTATCAATGGTCAAGTCCATTGATCAATCTCTATAGAAAACCACGTCAATGGTCCATTCCATTAACTAATCTTAAATCACACATCAATGGTCTATTCCATTGATGAATCTCATATCACATCAAACGTCGATGGTTCATTCCATCGACCAATCTATTGCTCAATATCTAACCATGGTCACTACACAAAGCTTTGTGACAAGGCTATCAAGATTCCCCCCTTGACACGGTCTCCACCTATAAAGCCGGTGGCTCGGCCTAGAAGGATATCCTAAACCCGGTATGCATACCCCAAAACCCCTCAATGGATTTACAGTCATATTGAGCATCAAAGAATCATCATCCAATATCAAAAATCCAATCCAGAATACATTTCACAAACCAAACAAATAACTTTCTCACAATACGGCTCATCCGCCAGAAATACATTTCGTAGAGCATTTCTTGAATCATTTCCGAACTCATTTCATAAACTAGTTCGTAACGCAATATACAAATGTATCCTTTCTTAATACATTTCGAAAAACAATTCTCAAATCATTCTCAAATACTAAAAAGTAGTAAATGCTCGATCCCGATTTATGCAACAAAATGCTCTTTTAAGTTCAACATATATATTTATATCGAATCATAATTTCTTCGAGATATGGTTTTTATAAAACCAAAGAAGAGATAGTACCACTCACCTAGAATCCCCAAAAATCAAACAACCACGCTTACTCGAACCGACGATCTTGTAATCCTAACAATTAAACGAGAATCGACATCAAAACCAAGTAAAAAAAAACTACGAAATGGCTAAACGGCGCTTAAACGCTAACAAGACAACTCAAAGGCGCCCACAAATCGCTTCTCCAAAGTGATTATCCAAACCGTCCGCAACGCGGAGTTTGAATGCAAAACTTGATCGCACCATAAATTCCTCCACCGAACCCCGTTTCAAGCGAGCTTATAGTCAATAGAAAGCCCACTTAGAGCACTACAAGAACCCCAACTTGGCCATCCCAAAATCGAGCCGAAAACCGACGTAAATCGGCCTAAAAGCCGCTGGTCGCGCACTGTTCACCTTGCGCGACCAACTTCAAAAATTCATATTAGGCAAACCGTAAGTCCAAATCAAGATCCGTAAACTCCCACGGCTCTACGACACCCTAAACTACCAATTCTATATATATATACACACACGTAGCTCAACGACTCAAAAATCGGACTTCGCGGCTTGATTTTCCCAAAATTCCAAATTTAAACCTTAAATGTGAAAACTTCTCCGATCGGATGGACGAGGGGCGCGAATGCTTACCAAACGTTGCAATACGAAGTCGAATCGGCTAGGTGAGGTTCGCGCGGTGCAAAACCCTCTTCTCTTCTTCTTCTTCTTCTTCTTCTTTCTCTTTTCCTCTCTTTCTTTCTTTTCCTTTCTCTCTGTCTCGGCCGAGCAAGCTCTCGGCTTAAATGAGAAAAACAGAGCGTCACTATAGCAACTTTTGACTTTCTGACTTTTTGACCTTTTTTTTTTATAAATACTCGAATATTACATCCATCCCTCCTTAAAAGAAATTTCGTCCTCGAAATTTGAACTTACCTCAACTTTCAAACAAGTGAGGGTACTTGCGTTTTGCCTCATCCTCAAGTTCCCAAGTGGCTTCTCTCTCAGTGTGGTTCAGCCATTGTATCTTTACATAAGGAATGGTCCGCCCTCGCAACACCTGATCCTTCCTATCGACGATGCAAATAGGCTGCTCTTCATACGTCAAGTTCTCCCTTAACCTCAATGGTGTAAAGTCCAGTACATGCTTAGGATTTGGCACATATTTATGCAACAAAGAGACGTGGAACACATTATGAACACCTGACAGTGCCGGTGGCAAAGCAAGTTTGTAAGCGACTTCACCAATCTTCTCTAAGATCAAGAATGGTCCTACGTATCTTGGACTTAACTTCCCACGCATGTCAAATCTCATAACACCCTTCGTAGGAGAAACTTTTAGGAATACATGATCCCCCACACTAAACTCCACCTTGCACCTTTTAAGATCTGCATAACTTTTCTGACGACTTTGAGCTGTTTTGAGACGTTCCCGAACCAACCTAACTTTCTCTTCTGACTGCTGAATGAACTCGGGCCCAGTTAGTCTTTTCTCACCAACATCATCCCAACAAATAGGGCTTCTACATTTTCGGCCATACAAAGCTTCAAAAGGTGCCATCTTAATGCTGGAATGATAGCTGTTGTTATAAGAAAATTCTGCCAAGTGTAGATGTTCATCCCAAAAACCTCCAAAGTCAATGATGCAGGATCTCAACATATCCTCTAATGTCTGGATCGTTCTCTCTGACTGCCCATCTGTTTGCGGGTGAAAAGCTGTACTCAAGTTGAGTTTATTACCCAATGCTCCTTGCACACTCCTCCAAAAGTTAGATACAAATCCGGGATCCCTATCAGAAACAATGCTTACTGGAACTCCATGAAGCTTCACTATCTCATTAACATATCGCTTTGCCATGTCTTCCATTGAAAGGCCGAATCGGTATGACAAAAAGTGTGCGTACTTAGTCAATCGGTCAACAATCACCTATATAGCATTCTTACCACTTGGCGTTCTCAATAGACCAACTATAAAATCCATGGTGATACGCTCCCACTTCCATTTAGGTATCTCTAGAGGTGTAACTGTCCACCTGGTTTTTGGTGCTCAATTTTCACTTGCTGGCAAACTAGGCATTGGTCGACAAATTTTACAACATCTTTCTTCATATTGACGCACCAGAAGTTCTCTCTCAAGTCCCTATACATTTTAGTGCTTCCAGGATGAATTGAGAATCTAGTGCTGTGAGCTTCCTGCAATATCTCCTTTTTCAATTCTGAATCATCGGGAACACATAGACGACTACGAAACTTCAAGGACCCATCTACGTGTATACTGAAGTCTGCTTGTCCTCTAGCTTCCACGCCTTCTCTGAATTTCTGCAACTGAGGATCTTCATTCTATTTGGTCTTAATTCTATCAATCAATGTTGGTTGCACTCGAAGATTAGCTAAACGAGCACCAAGCTGATGTACTAATACCTCTAAGTCCAACTTCCTCATGTCTTCAAGAATAGGCTTTTGAGAAGTAAGTAAAGTTGCTATATTTCCGACGGACTTACGACTCAAGGCATCCGCTACCACGTTAGCCTTTCATGGATGATAATTAATAGACAAGTCATAATCCTTTAAAAGTTCTAGCCTTCTTTTTTGCCTCATGTTTAGCTCTTTCTGGGTAAAAATATATTTCAGACTCTTGTGATCGGTAAAGACTTCACATCTTTCACCATACAAATAGTGCCGCCATATTTTTAAGGCAAACACAACTGCTGCTAATTCGAGATCATGAGTGGGGTAGTTCTTCTCATGTGGTTTCAATTGTCTAGAAGCATAGGCAACAACTTTATCAACTTGCATAAGAACACAACCCAAACCTTCTTTAGACACATCACAGTAAATTATGAAGCCAGTAGTTCCTCAAGGTAAAATCAATATAGGGGTTGACACTAGCCGCCTCTTTAACTCTTGAAAACTGCTCTCACATTGATCCGACCATATAAATTTAACTCTCTTATGAGTTAGGCGAGTAAGTGGACCAGCGATCTTTGAGAATCCCTCCACAAATCGCCTGTAATAGCCAGCTAGCCCAAGAAAACTTCTCACTTCTGTAACATTAGTAGGGCGATTCCACTGAACAACTGCTTCAACTTTCTTTGGATCTACTAATATGCCATCTTTCGAGATTACATGACCCAAGAATTCTATATGATCAAGCCAGAAGTCGCACTTACTAAATTTAGCATACAACTTCTTCTCATGCAAGGTCTGTAGGACAAACCTTAAGTGTTATTCGTGATCCTCAAAACTCTTCGAAAACACTAGAATGTCATCAATGAACACCACAATAAATTTGTCTAGATACTCTCTGAACACCCTGTTCATCAAGTCCATGAAAGCAGCAGGCGCATTTGTTGGACCAAAAGGCATGACGAGAAATTCATAATGGCCATATCTTGTTCTGAAAGTAGTTTTAGGCACATCATCCGCTTTTATCTTCAACTGATGATACCTAGAACAAAGGTCAATCTTAGAAAAGACTTGAGCTCCCTGAAGTTGATCAAATAAATCATCAATCCGGGGTAAGGGATATTTGTTTTGATCGTCACCTTGTTAAGTTCTCGGTAGTCTATACAAAGCCTCATACTACCATCCTTCTTTTTCACAAATAAAACTGGAAAGATGAGACACTAGGTCTGATGAAACCTTTATCCAAAAGCTCTTTCAATTGCGTTTTCAATTCTTTCAACTCGGTAGGTGCCATCCGATATGGTGCCTTAGAGATAGGTGCCGTACCGGGCATCAATTCAATACAGAACTCAATTTCTCTATCAAGAGGCAAACCTGGTAAATTCTCGGGAAATACATTGGGAAATTCTCTGACAACTGGAACATCTTCCAACTTCGCTACAACCTTGCTTGTGTCTTTTACACAAGCCAAATAACCACTACAACCCTTTCTCAAAAGTTTCTTTGCTTGCAAAGCCGATATCAACCTTGGAAAAGTGTCTTTACAACTTCCCGAAAAAGAGAATTCGGGTTGACATGGAAGTCTAAAGATCACTTTCTTTGAAAAACAATCAACAGTAGCACGGTATGTGGATAACCAATCTATCCCTATAATAATATTGAAATCTCGAACATTTAACTCCACTAGATCCACAGTCATTTCAACATTATTAATCTGGAGCACACATCCCTTGAACACATGATCAGCAACCAAGAAATCACCGGTAGGAGTATTGACACGCAATTCATATTCAAGAGGCTCAGGCAACACATCAAGCTTCTTTACAAATTCAGTAGAAACAAAAGAATGCGTAGCACCGGAATCAAATAACGCATAAGCACATTGCAAGGCAATAGAAATATTACCTGCAACAACTGTGTTAGATGCCGCCGCATCTTCCTCTGTTATCGCAAAAACTTTCCCACTTGTCCTCTGTCTTTGCGGGTTCTCTTGGGCTTACCAAATGAAGGAGCTTTGTTTCTCATGAAACAACGATGTGCTAGGTGTCCTCGTTGTCCACATAGATAACATGTTCTATTATCAGTCGTAGAATTCCTCTGTGTAGGACAATCACGCCGCATGTGTCCCACTTTCCCACATAAGAAGCATACTCCTGTTTTCTTGCGACACTCACCGCCATGATACCCTCCATATGTAGTACACGGGCTATGAGTGTTCTGGGCTCTAAACTTCCCTGGTAGGTTATTGCTTCCTCGATTAATACTGCCACTTACACGACTTTCTTGAAACTCAGTAAACTTGGGCCTTTTTTATTGATGAACACCCTGTGTGTCACGCTCTAATTTGTACCATTCCACCTTGATCGCTCGTTCCAAGACATCCTTGTATGTGGTCAGTTCAAGATGTGCGAGCTTAGAACGTATATTAAGCCGAAGGCCTCTTTGGAAATGTTCAGCTTTAAGTTCTTCATCATCCACATAATGTTTCGCAAATCTACTTAACTGGTTGAAGCGGCCTGCATAGTCCATCACTATAGAGTCACCCCAAGATATGTGTATGAAGTCGTCTCTCATCTTCGCTTGGAATGACCTCGGGAAGAATTGAGTGTTGAAGGCCTTTGTAAAATCTTCCCAAGAAATTGTCGCATCTCTGCCTCCCAGGGCGAGTCTAGTCCCTTCCCACCAATACTCTACTTCGCCCTCCAAACATTGGGTGGCAAAGTCAACCTTCCGATCATTGGGAACTCTATCGGTTCTAAAGATCCTCTCCATTCTTCTAATCCAACGTTCGGCCAATAGAGGATCCGATTTCCCATCGTAAGTAGGTGGTTTGGCCTTTCTGAACTGGGCAACTGTATATTCTCTCTCACCTTCAGTCATAGCGGTTCCACTCCCACCTAGATCTTTCAGTTGACGATGAAAGTTAAGCACTACATGACAAGCCTCAAATAAATTGCCTTGGATGGTAGGCTTAGGAAGTTCATCACTTGCATATTATGAGTCGAGGCTTCTTTCAAATAGATCCTCTAATCTCCTTTTTGAAGCCGGGCCTCGAGAACCTTGAGGCATATCTCTGGTATCGGGGATAGCGACTCGCTTGCCTTTACTGTTCTTACGAAGTGAGGCAAGTGTCTCTGAGTAGGAACGCATAATAACCTAAATCCAAAGCGTAACAAAACCTTAGCACCTAGAAGATAACACGCTAAAACTATCACACAATCTCACAACGTCCCATAAAAATCTACACCCAAACAGATCACAACTTAAGCTCTGATACCAAAAGATGTCACACCCCAAAAACAACTAGAAAAGGGGGATGACACGGCCGTCCTTCCACACGAAGGACGCAGCCTCAACAATAACCAACAACCTGTTATCAATATATATTTATCTCGAACCACATATATATCAAATAAACCAACAGGTTGGTTACAACATCAGAGTTTTTATAATCCACCAAAAGAACATGTACATCAAGAACTCAGCCAACTCGACGAACTATCAACAACCTTACAAACAACTCCAAAAATCATACCCAAAAATCAAACACCTAAACGTCCCCGCGATAGAGCTCTCGTACTAACGGCCGCTAGCCGAGGAACCTGAAAAGATTAGGAAAGAGAGGAATGAGCAACCACAGCTCAGTGAATAGTATATCTCTTCTAAGTAGATCGAGCAATCACTATGCATGTGTACAAAGCAATACCAAAACTTCAGAAGCCAAACCCAAGGTTTAAAATACATATAGAATCACATAAGAGTTATTTCATTTCATCAAAACTTTGTACAAGTCCCAAATACACATTTAAATTCACCATCACAATTCAAACTATCAATGGTCAAGTCCATTGATCAATCTCTATAAAAATCACGTCAATAGTCCATTCCATTGACTAATCTCAAATCACACATCAATGGTCTAATCCATTGATGAATCTCATATCACATCAAACGTCGATGGTCTATTCCATCGACCAATCTATTGCTCAATATCTAACCATGGTCACGACACAAAGCTTTGTGACAAGGCTACCAAGATTCCCCCTTGGCAAGGTTTACACCTACAAAGCTAGTGGCTCGACCTAGAAGGATATCCTAAACCCGATATGCATACCCCAAAACCTCTCAATGGGTTCACAGTCATATTGAGCATCAAACAATCATCATCCAATATCAGAAATCCAATCCAGAATACATTTCACAAACCAAACAAATAACTTTCTCACAATATGGCTCATTCACCAGAAATACATTTCATAGAGCATTTCTTGAATTATTTCCCAACTCAGTTTCATAAACTAGTTTATAACACAATATACAAATGTATCCTTTCATAATACATTTCCAAAAACAATTCTCAAATCATTCTCAAATACTAAAAAGTAGTAAATGCTCGATCCCGATTTATGCAACAAAATGCTCTTTTAAGTTCAACATATATATTTATGTCGAATCATAATTTCTTTGAGATATGGTTTTTATAAAACCAAAGAAGAAATAGTACCACTCACCTGGAATCCCCAAAAATCAAACAACCACGCTCACTCGAACCGACGATCTCGTAATCCTAACAATTAAATGAGAATCGACATCAAAACCAAGTAAAAAAAACTACGAAATGGCTAAACGACGCTTAAATGCTAACAAGACAACTCAAAGGCGCCCACAAATCGCTTCTCCAAAGCGATTATCCAAACCATCCGCAACGCGGAATTTGAACGCGAAACTTGATCGCACCATAAATTCATCCACCGAACCCCGTTTCAAGCGAGCTTATAGTCAATAGAAAGCCCACTCAGAGCACTACAAGAACCCCAACTTGGCCATCCCAAAATCGACCCGAAAACCGACGAAAATCGGCCTAAAAGCTGCTGGTCGCGCACTGTTCACCTTGCGCGGCCAACTTCAAAAATTCATATTAGGCAAACCGTAAGTCCAAATCAAGATCCGTAAAATACCACGGCTCCACGATACCCTAAAATACCAATTCTATATATATACATAGCTCAACGACTCAAAAATCGGACTTCGCGGCTTGAATTTCCCAAAATTCCAAATTTAAACCCTAAATGTGAAAACTTCTCCGATCGGATGGACGAGGGGCACGCGAATGCTTACTGGATGTTGCAATACGAAGTCGAATCGGCTAGGTGAGGTTCGCGCGGCGCAAAACCCTCTTCTCTTCTTCTTCTTCTTCTTCTTTCTCTTTTCCTCTCTTTCTTTCTTTTCCTTTCTCTCTGTCTCGGTCGAACAAGCTCTCGGCTTAAATGAGAAAAACAGAGCGTCACTGTAGCAACTTTTGACTTTCTGACTTTTTGACTTTTTTTTTATTTATAAATACCCGAATATTACACGAGGCCTCCGTCGACCCCCCTTGTTCTGCCGAACCGTGCTCTGTTTTGGCGATCTCGGCCAACCGGGGCCAAGACTCGTCGGCGCTCGGCCACACGCGGTTTCGAGCGTCGATAAGCCTTACATGGCTGTCGTAGTGTGCTTCCTTGAGCATTGCGTCGATGGTGTTTGCACATTGAACTTTGAATGGCTCGGTTTTAACTTCCCAGTTGGTGCCCACCAGGCATTCGACAAAATGCCTTAATGAGATCCGTATGCCTTAATGAGATCCGTAAGTTGGTCATTATTGTTTCTTTTTTCTTGCTTTATTGCTTGTGTGGCTGGATGTGGACCGAGGCGACACCGGAATAGACGTTTTGGCCGTCTTTGTCGAAACTGCGAAACAGGGGCGAGGCCGACCGGAGAGGGGGGTCGACGGTGGTCATGGTCGCCGGCTATGGCACGCCAAGAACCTGACGTCACCTGGCGTAGAAAACTGGTCGATGCCGACGCCTCTCGGCGGCCCGGCGAGAAGGCTGGCCAAGCGAAGCCTCACGGAACAGGGGAGTCGGGTCTGTAGGGAGGTGGAACGTCGGGTGAGTCAGGTCAGCCATAGTCAGGTCGGAGCTGGGTTGGATGTGTAGATCTAACCCGGCTCTTTAGGGTTTTGTCATATGTGGGTTGGACTTTGTTAATAGAAAAATTAGGATTTGGGTCGGGCTCAGTTCATTTAATTATTTTAGGGGTTTGGGACCTTTTTGTGAGCTAGACCGGGCCCGCGAATAAGGCCCGGTCCGGCTGTGGGTTGGCGAACCTAGGTCGGATGTGGAGATCCGACTCGGGTCCGTTTATATTTATTATAATAATATAATATAACCATTATTATTTTTAATATTAAAAATATATTTTTAATAAAAAATATATAAAAACTTCAAAAAACTTCAAAAAATTCAAAAAAAAGGAAATTGGGCTTTCAAATTGCCTTTTCTCGCTTTCTTGTATGATGAATGCCATGCTTGATTGCACGATTGGTTGATTTGCACGTTTGAATTGCGTATTTAATTCAACCTTAAATGTGCCCGATTAGAGGCATGTTAGGCCTTTTGTTTGTGCATCTCTGATGTATTGATTGTCGTTTCCTTAGCCTAGTTAGGATTAAAACCTAGGATTCACAATCGATAGGAAAACTGCACGAATACTCTTAATTGTTGTTTGAACAAAGTTAGGTATCGAAAGGGTATTAGTTGTCTCACTAGTATAACCAAGTTCCCGGACTTATTGAATCTTTTGTTCGCAGGAGTAAGGTGATTCTCCCGTCCTCTTACTTGGGTTTCTAATCGACTCACCCTAAACTGATTAGTGGCGACTCCTAGATAAAAATCAATTTGCATGTTAATAATTTAAACCTTAAGTCACAAGTTGATATGGACTTGGAAGAGCCTGAATTAAGTTCCCATGTTTAGACTTAGCAATCCATTAGCCTCTTAATGACACTTGTCAGCCCGTCTAGGGCCATGCCGCGAGGAGGTCGCGACATCTCTGTAAAGGTTAGCTTTGTAATATCAAATAGTCGAGTGTATAAGTGTAAGTGCAATAGTTGTCTTCTGATTGTGATCTATCTTGTGTAAGGAACAACAATTACCAGTTCTAACTTATAGTGCTGATTACCAATGGAATCTAGACACTGTTAGGCTATTAGCGAGAGAGTGGACGTAAGCTTGGATATAAAGCCAAACCGGTATAAACCGTTGTGTGATTCATCTTCAATGTTCACTATTTGCATCATTAGTACAGTATCAGCACACACGCTAGCCTACATCTTTCACAATCTATATCGCTAATTGTTATTATTTAACAAAAGATTTTCAGTATCTTAATTTAACCTATTCAACCGCCGTTTTTGGTTGCATTGTTAGCCCTAACAATTCTTTCTTTGCCTTGTTTAATATATGTTCGACCAGACATAACCACACACATAGGAGGTACATGCCTAAATGACGACTTACAAGAACCAGGACACAAGATTCTACACCATGAAGGGTCTTGGCAAACCTTATAGACTACATATTAAGAGAATACTATGGAAATTGAGAGAAAGATGTGTTTATGCCCTTATAAATATCACAAGCCTCTGGAACCAAGAATTCACAAGTCATTGTCAAATTGATCTATGAAGGCATTTATGCACATTTGCAACTGAACATCATATGGTGATGAACTACTGCAGAGGATGAAATCTGATTGGAAGTCCATGCTGCGGGCGGTTAGTGAAGAGATGAACTGGGCAGTGGATATAAGCTGGGGACAACTCAAAGGTGTAGCGCTGGAGGATCATCGAAAGGGCGACTTTCGCTTCGATCGTCACGAAACTCATCCCGACACAAGATCGAGGTCCAAAGCCAAAGGGGATGAACACGACCGCATTGTTATTGGTAGCTTTAGCTACACCTTCTGAGAATCGCTCTGGTTTGAATTGATGCACATCGTCCCCCCAGATCTCAGGGTCACTGTGAAGCTTAAGAATTGGTACAAAGATGTGAATACCAGCA